TTACTTAGACCCACGATCAACACCAATGGTAGCAGAAGTCAAGAAATCAGATGACATTTTGCACTGAGCAAATCTGATACAAAAGATCTCTCTAAAGTACTGAAAAGCAAAGATGTCACTTTTAAGACCAAAGTGCACCTAACTAAAGCCATGTTTTCAATTGTCTCATATGCCTGTGAAAGCTAGAAAATGAATAAGGAAGACCAAAGAAGAATTGATGCTTTTGAGTTGTGGTGTTGGTGAAGAATGCTGAAAGTACCACAGACTGCCAGAAGAATGAGCAAATCTGTCCTGGAGGAAGTGCAGCCGGAATGCTCCTTGGAAGCGAGAATGGCCAGACTTGGTCTCACCTACTTTGGTCGTGTTGTCAGAAGGGACTGTTCCCTGGAGAAGGATATCATGCTTGGTAAAGTGGAGGGTCAACGAGAGAGGGGAAGGCCCTCAGCAAGATGAATTGACCCAGTGGCTGCAACCATGGTGTGGTGGTTACGTTTGTCGTCAGCTTGGCTGGGCCTGGTTGAGTGGCTGGGCAGCTGGATGTAGTATTCCCTGTGATGAGACTGGTCATCAACTTCATGGTGGAACCTACTGTGAGCAGCCGGGTAGCTGCCCTAGGGATATGGTCTGCTTCCCAAATGTAAGCAGCAGCTTTGGGAACGGTCTCTAGCTTATGGCACACTTGAACCCTACATGTAGCCGTGTCGTTGTTCAGCAGCCTGCCATGTTCTGCCAACCTTGGGACTTTCAACTTTCAATGGATTTAAATTAATAGTCTGCCGTGTGGTTTGGTAACATCAGGCCTGTGCCAGTTTATTTGTCGTCCTTGGGCTTGTCAGCCTCAGCAGCCAGGAGCTGCCTGAGTGGAGATGCCTCTAGCTTCAGGGGGCCGGGAGCAAGAGGCAGAGCTGAAGCCTAAGCCCCTAGAGCCTGGCACCTTGAACTTGGACTTCTAGCCTCCTGAACTGTAAGAGAACAACTCCTGTCTGTTCAAGCCTCCCATTGTGGTATATTCCTGTCAGAGCGGCACCAGGGACCAGGACAAATGGGCTCAGGTATAGCAAGGATCATGGGGCTGGTACAGGACCAGGCAGTGTTTCGTTCTGTTGTGCACAGGGTCGCTATGAGTTGGAGCCCACTTGACGGCACCTAACAACAGGGGTAGGAGGGAGGGGGAGAGGGGAAGCTTCTGTTTGCGGGGCACTGAGTTTATGCTGATGGTGGTGGAATATTTTGGAAAAGGACAGCAGTAACGGTGGCACAACATAAAAAATGTCCTCGGTGTCCCTGAGCCGTAAACGGGGACCCTGTTATGTTGGTGAATGTCTTCTGTGTATGTTTTCACCACAATGAAACTTAAAAAAAAAAGAGTGGATGCCTTTGAATTGTGTTGGCGAACAATACTGAAAATTCTACGGACTGCCAGAAAACAATGTCTTGGAGGAAGTGCAGCCAGCACACTCCTTGGACGTGAGAATGGCCACGTTTCATCTCACCTACTTTGGTCACACGGCCTTGTCTTCACCTTCCCTCCCACTTCCTTTCCCAGCCTACCCGCTGATCAGGAGAAACTGATGGGCGTGGGTCCCCACGGCAGGCCCTTCGGGCGGGGAGGGGTCTTGGCTGGTCCCAGCCA